CGTCGTTTTCTGGTGGCATGAGATGCGACAAAAAGTAATGTGTGAGGAAGTCCCATGCGAAATCGCCACTGTCTGGCGGCCTCAAAAGGGACCGGTATATTTTTTGAGGAAGTCCCACGCGGAATCGCCACTTTCCGGTGGCATGGCAGCATTTCCGGTCGCCCTGGAAGGCGACCGGAAATTTTTTTTGAGGAAGTCCCAGGCAGAATCCCACTTTCCGGTCGGAGCCCCATTTGGCCTTTATAATATTAAAAGGGATGATGGAGGCACCGGAAACTCCGGAATTGGCAACAAATCCAACATTGTCCCGGGGCCCCGCTGCCTAACGGGAGGCAAACCACGTCTACCTCGGCCCCTGCGGTCTCCACTTTTTAATCCAGGGGGTTGTCCACCGCCAGCAGGCCGAAGCACGTCTGAGGTGTTGTTGTTTTTTTCGCATGCTCCACGTGGCCGAACGCATCATTGGTCTACGACTGAAGCACATTTACCACTTCGTCCGAGATCCGGGCGGGTTGGACCGCAGGCAATCCTCTGCCCTGTCTTTCTGGTTCGTTGACAAATACCACAACTGTTCTGACCTGTGCGTATTGGCCCATCGCACTGCCGCGCGCAATCTTTCACAAGTGGTCCCTGGGATCCAATCTCAAACGGGGCAAGTTTTCGTCCCAGATCCTTTCACCGGCAAATAGCCCAGCATTTTCAATTGCGTTGAAAATCTTGGGAACACTTTCGGGGTACTCTCCACCAGCTCATGCCGCTGCGATTGAGGGCCTGCAAAGCTTGGCGGCGCAAGCACCTTTCATTAATCGCACACAACAAAATTCACCAGTTCAAGCTCCACTCTCGAACTTGTCTTCTATCACTCCACGTACACGGAGCGGTCCATCACCCATCGCCTTCAGCCTTACACCGATGTTCAGGAAGCCAGAGGCCCAAGCATCCCCCAAACCCGCACCGCCTGGCCCTGAGCCGTGTTGTAGAGACACGGGGCGACGCAGTCCGCATACAACGCGTCACTGTTGTCAGACTTTCTCCACGCATGTGACCCTAGAGACCTGCGCACTGTGTGTTCGTGTTCATCGGCGGTCCTGTCCAAATAGTATGTGGTTCCATCCACGTAGGCCCACCTCTCTAGCGTGGTCTGGTGCTTCCGCTTCACGCTCTGACAGTAGGCCACCCGAGCGGCCCGATGCTGGGCAACCACAATCGTCTTGTTGCGGCGCCTGAGCCACGCGAGGTCGGCCTCGGCAAGGCGATCTTCCACGAGCGTGTCAGACAGCTCCCTCAGGAACGGGAACTGCTTCTTCAAACGGCTCACGGTCACTTTCGTCTTGCCTCGGTTGGCCACCGCCCACTTCACGACGTCCCTGTCCTGCTTCTCGGTAGTCTTGCGGGGGGCTCCTGACCCTGCGTCCCTCTCCGCGCCACTTAGGGTTCTCCTGCAACTTCTTCATGCTGTTCGATATTGCCGTCTCCGAAAATGATGTTTTCCCGTCTGCCTTCTTCAAGCGTTGGGCTATGCTCGTGCACCCCAGACCATGCTCCATGTGGGCCTTCACTTGCCCAACTTCAAAGGGAGACAACTGATACGAGGCCATGGTGGACGGCAATGCCTCTTGGAGGCAACAACTCGCAGATGAATAAGCCTTGAGCCAAAACGGCTACGGACCCCAAACACATGCTCTCGGCGAGGTCACTCATCCTGCGCACATGATCGACCCGCGGATGTAGCCGCGGGCGCATGTAGGGCGTTAAGGACGGTTGTCGTCGCCGTCGCCGCCGAACTCGCCGCGCCGTCGTCCCGGCCGCAAAGACGACCCGGTATGGGGGGGGGGTATTTTGTTGTGAGCGGCGTTGACTCAGCCAGCACCACACTTCGCCCGGGCTCTGGCCGCCCCCAGTCAGCGAAAGGGAAAGCGCGCTGAGGCGTAACCAATGTGCCCAGACCCCTGCGGGCCCTACTGCGGTCCGCCGCCGGCCTTCTTTGCGGCGTCGGCGTTGGAAAAGACTCGACCTGGCGTGCAATGCCTGGACCTTCTCCCTCGCAGCAGTGTCCTTGGGCAGCTCTGAGTGGTGAACGCCCGCAGCTTTCGCTGCCCTCCGCATTGCTTGAACCAGCTTCGCACGATTGTCCGAAGACATCGCTGGAGCCGAAATGACTACGGATGCGAACGTAGAGGACATCGCAAAACGAACCATTTTTTGAACCACCCCCTGGATTAAAAAGTTGAGATCGGAGCTACACCGAAAGAACCGCATCCTGGTATTCGTCCGTCGTTCGGCTTTCGAGCCGCGACTTTCGATCGGGACTGGATCCTGGGAAGTCGAAGGTCGCTGTTCGACCGGACCTCTATCCTCGACCCTCGAAGTATCTGGGGCCCTCGATCCTCGATCCTCGAGCCTCGATCGAACCTCGATCATGGATGTTCGATCGGCCAGGCATTCTGGAGCCTGGAGTTTCGATCAAGCCTGGAACATCGGGTCTCGATCGTCGCTCTTCGATCGGCCATCCAGCGTCGAACTTCGACGGATCGTGGCCGCTCGATCCTGGCTCCTCGATGTCCGAACGGCCCTGGATCCTCGACCCTCGATCTCCGACCCTCAATCGCTAGGTGGTTGTCGAACTTTGATCGGCCGTGGAACCCAAAGCCTCGTTTCCGATCGATATGGGTTCGCTCTTCCACAGTCGGCCCTGGGTCATCGATCGTGTATCCTCGATCATCGATCCTGGATCGTCGATTCTGGACCGTACATCCTGGGTCAACCGCGTCGCCCCAAAATGACCCTGGGATCGAACCTCCCTCAGGGGGGCCTGCGACCCGACGCGACCTCAAGATGGCCTCAAGATGACTCCAAGACAAACCTGTGAACCGAACGATGCAACGGCCATCCCTGCGGACATCCGCCCAGGCGCAGATAGGACCCGGCGCGCCGAGCTGGTGCAACTGGGATCTGACTTGCACGAGAGCATGCGACACGGAACAATCCAATACTGTGAATGATACGAAGGAGAGAGTGGGAAGAGAATAGGTTCCGCGGCGTCTGTGTGGAGCGTTCAAGACCAGAAACTCGAATGTCAAGAAGTCTCAAGCGAATCGTCCCGTTTTCTGGTGGCATGAGATGCGACAGAAAGTAATGTGTGAGGAAGTCCCACGCGAAATCGCCACTGTCTGGCGGCCTCAAAAGGGACCGGAATATTTTTTTGAGGAAGTCCCACGCGGAATCGCCACTTTCCGGTGGCATGGCAGAATTACCGGTCGCCCTGGAAGGCGACCGGAAATTTTTTTTGAGGAAGTCCTAGGCAGAATCCCACTTTCCGGTCGGAGCCCCATTTGGCCTTTATAATATTAAAAGGGATGATGGAGGCACCGGAAACTCCGGAATTGGCAACAAATCCAACATTGTCCCAGGGCCCCGCTGCCTAACGGGAGGCAAACCACGTCTACCTCGGCCCCTGCGGTCTCCACTTTTTAATCCAGGGGGTTGTCCACCGCCAGAAGGCCGAAGCACGTCTGAGGTGTTGATTTTTTCGCATGCTCCACGTGGCCGAACGCATCATTGGTCTACGACTGAAGCACATTTACCACTTCGTCCGAGATCCGGGCGGGTTGGACCGCAGGCAATCCTCTGCCCTTTCTTTCTGGTTCGTTGACAAATACCACAACTGTTCTGACCTGTGCGTTTTGGCCCACCGCACTGCCGCGCGCAATCGTTTCACGAAGTGGCCGCAGTATAGCCCAAGCATTTTCAATTGCGTTGACATCTTGGGACACTTTCGGGTACTCTTCCACCAGCTTCATGCCGCTGCGATTGAGGGCCTGCAAAGCCTCTGGCGTGCGCAAGCACCTTTCATAATCGCACACCACAAATTCACAGTTCAAGCTCCACTCATCGAACTTGTCTTCTATCAGCTCCACGTACACGGAGCGGTCCATCACCTCGCCTTCGTCAAGCACGTGTATGTTTAGGACGCCAGAGGCAAGCATCCCCCAAACCCGCACCGGCTGGCCCTGAGCCTTGTTGTAAGACGACGGGGCGACGCAGTCCGCATACAACGCGTCACTGTTGTCAGACTTTCTCCACGCATGTGACCCTAGAGACCTGCGCACTGCGTGTTCGTGTTCATCGGCGGTCCTGTCCAAATAGTACGTGGTTCCATCCACGTAGGCCCACCTCTCTAGCGTGGTTGCGGGCATTCCCGCTCACGCTCGACAGTAGCCACCCGACGGCCCGAGCTGCACCACAATCGTCTTTTTGCGGCGCCTGAGCCACGCGAGGTCGGCCTCGGCAAGGCGATCTTCCACGAGCGTGTCAGACAGCTTCCTCAGGAACGGGAACTGCTTCTTCAAACGGCTCACGGTCACTTTCGTCTTGCCTCGGTTGGCCACCGCCCACTTCACGACGTCCCTGTCCAGCTTCTCGGTAGTCTTGCGGGGGGCTCCTGACCCTGCGTCCCTCTCTCCGCGCCACTTAGGGTTCTCCTGCAACTTCTTCATGCTGTTCGATATTGCCGTCTCCGAAAATGATGTTTTCCCGTCTGCCTTCTTCAAGCGTTGGGCTATGCTCGTGCACCCCAGACCATGCTCCATGTGGGCCTTCACTTGCCCAACTTCAATGGGAGACAACTGATACGAGGCCATGGTGGACGGCAATGCCCCTTGGAGGCAACAACTCGCAGATGAAGAAGCCTTGAGCCAAAACGGCTACGGACCCCAAACACATGCTCTCGGCGAGGTCACTCATCCTGCGCACATGATCGACCCGCGGATGTTTCCGCGGGCGCATGTCGGGGGGCGTTAAGGACGCGATGTCGTCGCCGTCGCCGCCGACGTCGCCGCCGTCGTCGCCGCAGACACCCGGTAGGTTAGGTTTGGTTGTGAGCGGCGTTGACCTCAGCCAGCACCACACTTCGCCCGGGGCTCTGGCCGCCCCCCAGTCAGCGAAAGGGAAAGCGCGGCTGAGGCGTACCATGTGCCAGACCCCCTGCGGGCTCCTACTGCGGTCCGCCGCCGACCTTCTTTGCTGCGTCGGCGTTGGAAGACTCGACCTGGCGTGCAAGTGCCTGGACCTTCTCCCTCGCAGCAGTGTCCTTGGGCAGCTCTGAGTGGTGAACGCCCGCAGCTTTCGCTGCCCTCCGCATTGCTTGAACCAGCTTCGCACGATTGTCCGAAGACATCGCTGGAGCCGAAATGACTACGGATGCGAACGTTGAGGACATCGCAACACGAACCATTTTTTGAACCACCCCCTGGATTAAAAAGTTGAGATCGGAGCTACACCGAAAGAGCCGCATCCTGGTATTCGTCCGTCGTTCGGCTTTCGAGCCGCGACTTTCGATCGGGACTGGATCCTGGGAAATCGATGGTCGCTGTTCGACCGGACCTCTATCCTCGACCCTCGAAGTATCTGGGGCCCTCGATCCTCGAGCCTCGAGCCTCGATCGAACCTCGATCATGGATGTTCGATCGGCCAGGCATTCTGGAGCCTGGAGTTTCGATCAAGCCTGGAACATCGGTTCTCGATCGTCGCTATTCGATCGGCCATCCAGCGTCGAACTTCGACGCATCGTGGCCGCTCGATCCTGGCTCCTCGATGTCCGAACGGCCCTGGATCCTCGACCCTCGATCTCCGACCCTAAATCGCTAGGTGGTTGTCGAACTTTGATCGGCCGTGGAACCCTAAGCCTCGTTTCCGATCGATATGGGTTCGCTCTTCCACAGTCGGTCCTGGGTCATCGATCGTGTATCCTCGATCAGCGATCCCTGGTTCGTCGATTCTGGAACCGTACATCTCTGGCAAACCGCGTCGCCCCAAGTCCGATGCGGATGAACCTCCCACAGGGGGGCCTGCGACCCACGCGACCACAAGATGGCCTCAAGATGACTCCAAGACAAACCTGTGAACGAACGATGGCAACGGCCATCCCTGCGGTCATCCCCAGGCGCAGATAGGTACGCGCGCGCGAGGCTCTGTGCAACTGGAATCTGACTTGCAACGAGACACATGCAACAACGAACAATCCAATACTGTTGATGATAAGAGGAGAGAGTGGGAAGAGGAATAGGTCCGCGGCGTCTGTGTGAGCGTACATGAGACCAGAAACTCGAATGTCAGGAAGTCTCAAGCGAAATCGTCGTTTTCTGGTGGCATGAGATGCGACAAAAAGTAATGTGTGAGGAAGTCCCATGCGAAATCGCCACTGTCTGGCGGCCTCAAAAGGGACCGGTATATTTTTTGAGGAAGTCCCACGCGGAATCGCCACTTTCGGTGGCATGGCTAGCATTTCCGTCGCCCTGGAAGGGCGACCGGAAATTTTTTTTGAGAAAGTCCCAAGCAAGAATCCCACTTCCGGTCGGAGCCCCATTTGGCTTTTTAATATTAAAAGGGAATGAAGGAGGCACCGGCAACTCCGGAATTGGCAACAAATCAAACATGTCCCGGGGCCCCCGACTGCCTAACGGGAAGGCAAACCACGCTACCTCGGCCTCCTGCGGTCTCCACTTTTTAATATCCAGGGGGGTTGTCACACCGCCAGCAGGCCCGAATCACGTCTGATGGTTGAATCTTTTCGCATGCTCCCACTGGCCGAACGCATCATTGGTCTACGACATAAGCACATTTACCACTTCGTCCGAGATCCGGGCGGGTTGGACCGCAGGCAATCCTCTGCCCTTTCTTTCTGGTTCGTTGACAAATACCACAACTGTTCTGACCTGTGCGTATTGGCCCATCGCACTGCCGCGCGCAATCGTTTCACGAAGTGGTCCCTGGTTACCATCTCAACGGGGCAAGTTTTCGTCCAGGTGTCCCGCAATATAGCCCAACATTTCAAAATTGCTAGAAATCTTGGGCACTTCGGGTACATCGTTCCACCATCTTCAATGCCGCTGCGATTGAGGGCCTGAAAAGTACCTGGCGTGCGCATGCACCTTTCATAATCGCACACCACCAATTCACAGTATTCACTGTTCAAGCCCACTCATCGAACGTGTCTTCTATCAGCTCCACTACACGGAGCGGTCCAGTCACCTCGCCTTCGTCAAGCACGTGCATGTTCAGGACGCCAGAGGCAAGCATCCCCCAAGCCCGCACCGGCTGGCCCTGAGCCTTGTTGTAAGACGACGGGGTGACGCAGTCCGCATACAACGCGTCACTGTTGTCAGACTTTCTCCACGCATGTGACCCTAGAGACCTGCGCACTGCGTGTTCGTGTTCATCGGCGGTCCTGTCCAAATAGTACGTGGGTCCATCCACGTAGGCCCACCTCTCTAGCGTGGTCTGGTGCTTCCGCTTCACGCTCTGACAGTAGGCCACCCGAGCGGCCCGATGCTGGGCAACCACAATCGTCTTGTTGCGGCGCCTGATCCACGCGAGGTCGGCCTCGGCAAGGCGATCTTCCACGAGCGTGTCAGACAGCTTCCTCAGGAACGGGAACTGCTTCTTCAAACGGCTCACGGTCACTTTCGTCTTGCCTCGGTTGGCCGCCCACTCAACGTCGTCCCCTGCCTGCTTCTCGTCAGTCCTTGCGGGTCTCCTGACCCTGCTCCCTCTCCGCGCCACTAGGTTCCCCTGCAACTTCTTCATGCTGTTTCGATATTGCCGCTCCGAAATGATGTTTTCCCCGTCCTGCCTTCTTAAGCGTTGCTACTCGTTGCAACCCCAGACCATGCCCAGTGGCCTTCACTTTGCACCATCGTCTAAGGAGACAACTGATACAGGCCATGGTGGACGCAATGCCCTCTTGGAGGGCAACAACTCGCAGATGATGAAGCCTTGACCAAAACGGCTACGGAGACCCCAAACACATGCTCACGGCGAGGTCACTCATCCCCACATTGATCACCCGCGATGTTTCCGCGGGCGCATGTAGGGGGCGTTAAGGACGCATGTCGGGGGGCGTTAAGTACGCGTTGTCGTCGCCGTCGCCGCCGACGTCGCCGCCGTCGTCGCCGCAGACACCCGGTAGGTTAGGTTTGGTTGTGAGCGGCGTTGACCTCAGCCAGCACCACACTTCGCCCGGGGCACTGGCCGCCCCCCAGTCAGCGAAAGGGAAAGCGCGGCTGAGGCGTACCATGTGCCAGACCCCCTGCGGGCTCCTACTGCGGTCCGCCGCCGACCTGTTTTGCTGCGTCGGCGTTGGAAGACTCGACCCGCGTGCAAGTGCCCTGGACCTTCTCCTCGCACAGTGTTTGGGCAGCTCTGAGTTGTGAACGCCCGCAGCTTTTCGCTGCCCTCCGCATTGCTTTGAAAACCAGCTTCGCACGATTGTCCGAAGACATCGCTGGAGCCGAAATGACTACGGATGCGAACGTTGAGGACATCGCAAAACGAACCATTTTTTGAACCACCCCCTGGATTAAAAAATTGAGATCGGAGCTACACCGAAAGAACCGCATCCTGGTATTTCGTCCGTCGTTCGGCTTTTCGAGCCGCGAGCTTTCGATCGGGACGGATCCTGGGAAAATCGATGGTCGCTGTTCGACGGACCTCTACCTCGACCCTCGAAGTAGCTGGGGCCCTCGATCCCGAGCCCTCGAGCCTCGATCGAACACCTCGATCATGGATGTAAGATCGGCCAGGCATTCTGGGAAGCCGGATTTCGATCAAGCCGGTACATCGTTCTCGATCGTCCGCTCGTTTCGATCGGCCATCCAGCGTCGAACTTCGACGGATCGTGGCCGCTCGATCCTGGCTCCTCGATGTCCGAACGGCCCTGGATCCTCGACCCTCGATCTCCGACCCTCAATCGCTAGGTGGTTGTCGAACTTTGTTCGGCCGTGGAACCCAAAGCCTCGTTTCCGATCGACATGGGTTCGCTCTTCCACAGTCGGTCCTGGGTCATCGATCGTGTATCCTCGATCATCGATCCTGTATCGTCGATTCTGGACCGTACATCCCGGGTCAACCGCGTCGCCCAAAATGACCCTGGGACGAAACGCCCACAGTGGGCCTGCGACCCACGCGACCTTCAAGAGGCCTCAAGATGACTCCAAGACAAACCTGTGAACCGAACGATGCAACGGCCATCCCTGCGGACATCCGCCCAGGCGCAGATAGGACCGCGCGCGCGAGGCTGTGGCAACTGGAATCTGACTTGCACGGAGAGCATGCGACACGGAACAATCCAATACTGTGATGATAAGAGGAGAGAGTGCGAAGAGGAATAGGTCCGAGGCGCCTGTGTGAGCGTACATGAGACCAGAAACTGGAATGTCAGGAAGTCTCAAGCGAAATCGTCGTTTTCTGGTGGCATGAGATGCGACAAAAAGTAATGTGTGAGGAAGTCCCACGCGAAATCGCCACTGTCTGGCGGCCTCAAAAGGGACCGGAATATTTTTTTGAGGAATTCCCACGCGGAATCGCCACTTTCCGGTGGCATGGCAGAATTTCCGGTCGCCCTGGAAGGCGGCCGGAAATTTGTTTGAGGAAGTCCTAGGCAGAATCCCACTTTCCGGTCGGAGCCCCATTTGGCCTTTATAATATTAAAAGGGATGATGGAGGCACCGGAAACTCCGGAATTGGCAACAAATCCAACATTGTCACGGGGCCCCGCTGCCTAACGGGAGGCAAACCACGTCTACCTCGGCCCCTGCGGTCTCCACTTTTTAATCCAGGGGGTTGTCCACCGCCAGCAGGCCGA